TTTAGGCTCGCAACTAAATTAAGCAGGAAGTACAGAGGGTTCCCATATACCCCATGCCTATACACATGCCACCCTCCACTATCAACACCTTCACCACAGTGGTATATTTGTTACAACTTCTGAACCTGCATTGACATATCATCACCCTATGTCCATAGTTTACATAGAGATTCACTCTTGGTATTGAACATTGTATGGTTTTGACAAATGTGTAATGATATGAATCTACCATTGTAGTATCATACAGAAGTGTTTCACTGCTCTGAAAATCCTGTTTTCTGTCCATTCATCTATCCCTCCTTTATAACCAAGGCAACCACCAATCTTTTACTATCTCCATAGCTTTGTCTTGTCCAGAATGTCATATAGTTGGAATCATACAGTATTGTAGTGTTTTCAGATTTGCTTCTTTCCCTTAGTAATAAGCATTTTAGTTTCCTCCATGTCTTTTCATGGCTTGATACGTCATTTCTTTTTAGGACTAAATGTTTTTTTGTCTAGATGTACTACAGTTTATCCATTCCCCTACTGGTCATCTTGGTTGCTTCCAAGTTTTTGCAATTATGCAAAAAACTGCTTTAAACACCCATACGCAGGTTTCTATGTGTACACTTGTTTTCACTGTGGTAATGCTGGCCTCATAGAATGAGTCCAAAAGTATTCACTCTGCTTCTAGCCTCTGAAAGAGATTATAGAGAATTGGATAATTTCTTTAGTAGAATTCACCGGTGAGCCATCTGGGTCTGGTGTTTTCTGTTTTGGAGGATTATTACTTTTTAATATATGTCTTTAGTACATAAGAACTATCCAGATTGTCTATTACTTCTTGTGAGAGTTTTGGCAGATTGTGATTTTCAAGGAATTGATCTGTTTTCATCTAGGTGATAAGATTTGTTAGCATAGATTGTTCATAATATTCCTTTATTATATTTTTAGTGTCTTTGAAATCTGTAATGATGTCCCTCTTTCATTTCTGATATTAGTAATTTGTGTTGTCTCTCTCTTTTTCTTAACCTTGCCAGAGGCGTATCAATTTTATTGATCTTTTCACAGAACCAGTGTTTTAGTCTGTTTTGTGTTGCTAAAAGAGAATACATGAGACTGGGTAATTTATCAGGAAAAGATGTTTACTTAGCTCATGGTTTTGCAGGCTGGGAAGTTCATAAAACATTGTCCCAGCATCTGCTCATCTTCTGATGAGAGCATTTTGTTCTGCATCACAGTGTGGCAGAAAGTCAAAGAAGAGGATATGTGCAAAGAGGCCAAACCTAACGAGTGTCCTGGCTTTACAATACTTTTGTGGAAACTATTCCATATCTGCAAGAACTAATGCAGTCTCATCAGAGCAAGAACTACCCACTATCCTGCGGACAGCACCAAACCATTCATGAGGGATCTATCCCCATGACCCAGACACCTCCCACTAGGCCTCACCTCCCAACACCAGCACAGCAACCTCTGCTTCCCAGGTTCAAGTAACTCTCCCATCTCAGCCTCCTGAATAGCTGGGACTACGTGCATGTGCCATTATGCCCAGATAATTTTTGTAGCTTTTTGGTAGGGACAGGGTTTCACCATGTTGTCCAGGCTAAGTCTCAAACTCCTGAGTTCAAGAGATCCATCCACCTCCGCCTCTCAAAATGCTGGGATTACAACAGGCTTGAGCCACCATGCCCAGCCAGCCACTGACATTTAAAGTAATTATTGATATTGTTCGATTAATAGCTACTATGTTTGTTAATGTTTTTCTGTTTGTTGCCCTTGTTCTTTGTTTCTATTTTGTCTTCCACACTCTTTCTGCCTTCTGCGGCTTTAATTGAGCATTTTGTATAATCCCTTTTTCTCTTCTTTTTTTTTAGTATGTCAATTATACTTTTTTCAATACTTTTTTTAGTGACAGCCCTAGAGTATGCAATATACATTTACAACAAAACTAAGTCTGATTTATGAAAGTCCAGAATAGGGAAATCTGTGGAGAAAGAAAGTAGATTAGTGATTGCTTATGCCTGGAGAGTTATGACAGATGTTCAAGGGTAATAGCTAAAGGATACAGAGTTCCTTCTTGAGGCGATGAAAATGTCCTAAAATTTACTGTGTTGATGGTTGCACACATTTGTGAATGTACCAGAAATAACTGAATTATTCACTTTGGGTGAATTGTATAGCATTATAGATTCAATTTCAATAAAACGATTTTAAAATGTAAGATATTCCAAAAAGTATATGTAATTATTATCAAATTTAAAGAGACTAGGGGTTTACAGGTGGTACCTCTTCTAGCCCTCCCTACCCCTCTTATTTCCCCTTTGCACCCCGAACATGGATCTGGGGTTTTGACAAATGTGGTGTTACCACCACTTTTTAGAACAAATGCCACTACTAGCATTCCAAGCTGTAGATGAAAGAGATGGGTGCGGGGAGAGTGGGTAACAAGAAATAATTCCTCTGAATCATGGTTCATGCCAGGCATATGGCTTAGGATCAACTAGTGACATAAGACCCAGGAGGCAACTAGCTAAAACTTCTCTCAATAGCGTACCCTCTCCTGGAGCAGGGAGGAAACCTTATTGTTACAGACCAGGTACTGGCACGATGACACTCTGAAAATAGATTGCTCAGACTTCAAAACAGATCTGCACTTCAGGAGTACAACTATTGGTATTCTGTAGGAGGCAAGTGTGGCCTATGTGGTTAGCCTGTTTGAAGACACTTGTATGTTGTCTCTACCAGCATGTAGCAGTCATACCAAAAGACCTCCAGCTAGCATATTGTACACCTGTACAATGTCTCATGTAAGTAGAGAGTATACTTCAGCATCCATTTTCATCTGGGCACGGTGGCTCACGCCTGTAATCTCAGCAGTTTGGGAGGCCTAGGTGGGAGTTTGAGACAAACCTGGCCAATATGGTGGAACCTCGTCTCTACCAGAAGTACAAAAATTAGCTGGGCATGGTGGTGCATGCCTATAGTCCCAGCTACTCGGGAGGCTGAGGCAGGAGAATTGCTTGAACCCTGGGATGGGAGGTTGTGGTGAGCCAATATCACCCCACTGCACTCCAGGCTGGGCAACAGAGTGAGACTCCATCTAAAAAAAAAAAAAAAAAAATCCATTTTAATGGCAAACATTGCATTTTCAACAAAACAAAACCACCACCTACTAACTTCTCAATATTGGTAGTTCTGAATGTTAGATTTTTTTGTAACCATGTGATCAAAATATCCTAAGTGTATGAATGGAAAGATAGGTGTAGAATAGGTATTGGCAAGTATTTTCCCATTTTTATTAGTGTGTGATTTTTTTTTTTTTTTTTTTTTTGAGACAGAGTTTGCTCTGTCACCCAGGCTGGAGTACAGCGGCATGATCACGGCTCACTGCAACTTCCACCTCCTGGGTTTAAGCGATTCTCCCACCTTAGCCTCCCGAGTAGCTTGGATTACAGGTGTCCAACGCCACACCCAGCTAATTTTTGTATGTTTTGTAGAGACAGGGTTTCACTATGTTGGCAAGACTGGTCTTCAACTCTTGACCTTGTGATCCGCCCGCCTTGGCCTCCCAAAGTGCTGGGATTATAGGCGTGAGCCACTGCGCCCGGCCTGTGAATTTTTAATATAAATATGGGAACATAATGCATTAAAGGAAGTCAAAATATTTTAGTGAACAAGTTTCAGCGATTCAATTTATAACAGTTATTAAGTAAACCCATTAAAATGTTTATAGAATGATAGCACTTAGCTTTTTTTAAAAAAAAAAGTACATTTCTTATTGATGACAACTAAATGGCATGTGTATAATTTTATCATACAGTAGATTCCATTCATTCACTATAGTTATGTAATTGAGTCTACATGCAAGTATATCATTTTAACATTGCATATACTATTTATGTTTAATAGTTATTTTTTAAAAAGCTAACGTTAACGAGTTCCACGTTTCTCAAATTCACATCTATTCATGCTAAAATCCACCCAGTATTTTTTTATCCAGTAAAATGAATAGTTACTTAAATATTATATCTAGTAATCATAATCCAACCTAACAGAAATTTTTTCTTTGTAAATTATTCTCTAACAGCTGTTTTCAATAATGGGTAGTATGTACCCCTGGGAGATGATTGGGAATTTTATGGGGTAGTATTTTGGTTGTCACATTGATAGGCAAATGTTACTGGATCAGTAGCCCTAATGTGTAAGTTCAATTGATTTCAGTCAGTTGTCCTAATGTGTAAGTTCACTAGATTTCATCCCTTCTCTTAACATTTTTTTACAGTACTTGCTAATTTCCTCAGAGGTCTAGAGAATAACTTGTCTTTTGCAAGCAGTTTAAGTTACTGCTTTCTTTCTTTTGCCAAGTCAGTTACCGCTTGTCTGTCTGCATCATGCCATCTAAATATTTCTTTAAATCGCTTATCTTCTGATGTCTCCTCTTTCATAGTAGATTTGTGTCCTCTTATTTTATCCCTTTGCTGTCAATCCAGCAAAGGGTTGGAAAGGAAGAAGTGATTTCAAAGGAAAAAGAGACCACCTTGTAATCAATCTGCTATGCTTTAACACCTCTATTGGAGGTAGCGTCTCCTCCTAGACCGCATAGGAAATGTTCTAGGTGTTTTTGGTTATTATAATGACTGGCTGATGCGTTGGCAGTTCATGCCTGCTTTACAGCTAGATCTGCTAAAACATACTGCCATATGTGAGCCCACCCAAAATGCCAGTAACAACCCGATTTACAAACAGTGACCTAGTACAATTCAAGTTCATCGCACCCTTGCGTTAACTCAGTGTAAACAGTATGTTTAGAAACTAACATCTTCTCTAATTGAGAGTAGTGTCAGATCTTACTCATTACTATTTTTCAGGCTGAGCTTTTGAAACTGATGTTCATTCAGAAATAAAAATGAGTACAGTCTTGGCTCCTTATCATTAAAAGAAAACACACATTGGATAAACTGTTTTCTTAACTCCAGCATTCAATTTTGCTACATGTTTTGTCTTCGTATTAACAGATATTTTGGTAAAAGACCTCAGTGGGATTGTAGAGGGGCATCAAATCTTAAGGAACTTCACCAGCTATTAAGTGACATAATGATTAGAAGATTAAAGACTGAAGTTTTAACCCAGCTGCCCCCTAAAATCAGACAGCGTATTCCATTTGATCTTCCATCAGCAGCAGCCAAGGTGAGAACCCTTGCTTGATTGAAAGTCTTACTTTAAATAACTTTGATTATACTATTACAGATTGCACATATTTCATATTTCACAGAAGGAAAGGTTTGCTTTCCTAAAATGGATTTAATTAATAGAGCCTACAAATTGGTTTTGTATTTCAGCAAAAAAAGTAGGAAGATTTCAGTTTTATACGTAAATTTGATTTCATCAAATACGTAAAAAGATACGGTAACCTAGTGATTTTTTTTAAAAGTACTTTTTGCTGAAAAAAGTACTTCAGTTACAACAGAGATGTAGTATTAAGAATTGTAAATATCAGCCTGGCAAGGTAGCTGACACCTGTAATCCCAACACTTTGGGAGGCCGAGGCGGGTGGATCACCTGAAGTCAGGAGTTTGAGACCAGCCTGGCCAACATGGTGAAACCTCATCTCTACTAAAAATACAAAAAGTAGTTGGGCATGGTGGTGCAGGCCTGTAATCCCAGCTACTCAGGATGCTGAGGCAGGAGAATCACTTTAACCCAGGAGGCAGAGGTTGCAATGAGCTGAGATCATGCCATTGCACTCCAGCCTGGTGACAGTGGGAGCGAGACTCCATCTGAAAAAAAAAAAAAAAAAAGAATTCCAAGTATCTATAAGGTGTAAAGCCCAATAATTAACAAGGGAAATTGTGTTTCTCGCTCTAGAATTTCTTTTTAAAGTATGAATAGCTGTCTTCCAGAATAACTTCATGCAGCCCTATTCTTGAAATTCTTTTTTTTTTTTTCATATTTGTGTATGTTTATTTTAGATCACTGAAACTTCACAGACTTTAACAGCAAACAAAGTTTAAAAAATTTAGTTCTGTACTTTAGCTCCAACTATCTCTATTTTTTTTTTTTATTGCATTTTAGGTTTCGGGGTATATGTGAAGAACATGCAAGATTGTTGCATAGGTACACACATGGCAGTGTGATTTGTTGCCTTCCTCCCCTTCACCTATATCTGGCATTTCTCCCCATGCTATCCCTCCTTACCTCCCCACGCCCCCGTCCCTCCCCCATTTTCCCCTAACAGAACCCAGTGTGTAGTGCTACCCTCCTTGTGTCCATGTGTTCTCATTATTCAACACCCGCCTATGAGTGAGAACATGTGGTGTTTGATTTCTGCTCTTGTGTCAGTTTGCTGAGAATGATGGTTTCCAGGTTCATCCATGTCCCTACAAAGGACACAAACTCATCATTTTTGATAGCTGCATAATATTCCATGGTGTATATATACCACATTTTCCCTGTCCAGTCTATCATCGATGGGCATTTGGGTTCGTTCCAGGTCTTTGCTATTGTAAACAGTGCTGCAATGAACATTCGTGTGCATGTGTCCTTATAGTAGAACGATTTATAATCCTTTGGGTATATACCCAGTAATGGGATTGCTGGGTCAAATGGAATTTCTATTTCTAGGTCCTTGAGGAATCGCCACACTGTCTTCCACAATGGTTGAACTAATTTGCACTCCCACCAACAGTGTAAAAGTGTTCCTATTTCTCCACATCCTCTCCAGCATCTGTTATCTCCAGATTTTTTAATGATTGCCATTCTAACTGGCGTGAGATAGTGTCTCATTGTAGTTTTGATTTGCATTTCTCTAATGACCAGTGATGATGAGTATTTTTTCATGTTTGCTGGCCTCATGTATGTCTTCTTTTGTAAAGTGTCGGCTCATATCCTTCGCCCACTTTTGAATGGGCTTGTTTGTTTTTTTCTTGTAAATCTGTTTTTGCCCATTCAGTATGATATTGGCTGTTGGTTTGTTGTAAGTAGCTTTTATTATTTTCAGATACGTTCCATCAATACCTAGTTTATTGAGGGTTTTTAGCATAAAGTGCTGTTGAATTTTGTCAAAGGCCTTCTCTGCATCAATTGAGATACTCATGTGGTTTTTGTCTTTGGTTCTGTTTATGTGGTGAATTATGTTTATAGACTTGCGTATGTTGAACCAGCCTTGCATCCCTGGGATGAAGCCTGCTTGATCATGGTGGATAAGCTTTTTGATGTGCTGCTGCAGTCGGTTTGCCAGTATTTTATTGAAGATTTTTGCATCTATGTTCATCACGGATATTGGCCTGAAGTTTTCTTTTCTTGCTGAGTCTCTGCCAGGTTTTGGTATCAGGATGATGTTGGTCTCATAAAATGATTTGGGAAGTATTCCCTCTTTTTTGGATTATTTGGAATAGTTTCAGAAGGTATGGTACCAGCTCCTCTTTGTATGTCTGGTAGAATTCAGCTGTGAACCCATCTGGACCTGGGCTTTTTTTGGGTGGTAGGCACTTAATTTCTCCCTCAACTTCAGACCTTGTTATTGGTCTACTCAGGGTTTCGACTTCTTCCTGTTTAGGCTTGGGAGGATGCAAGTGTCCAGGAATTTATCCATTTCTTCCAGGTTTACTAGTTTATGTGCATAGAGTTGTTTGTAATAATCTCTGATGATGGTTTGTATTTCTATGGAATCTGTGGTGATATCCCCTTTATCGTTTTTTATTGCATCTATTTGATTATTCTCTCTTTTCTTTTTTATTGATCTGGCTATTGGTCTGTCTATTTTGTTGATCTTTTCGAAAAACCAGCTCCTGGATTTATTGATTTTTTTTTTGAAGGGTTTTTTGTTTCTCTATCTCCTTCAGTTCTGCTCTGATCTTAGTTATTTCTTGTCTTCTGCTAGGTTTTGAGTTTTTTTGATCTTGCTCCCCTAGCTCTTTCAATTTTGACGGTAGGATGTTGATTTTGATCTCTCCTTGCTTCTCATGTGGGCATTTATTGCTATATATTTTCCTCTAGAGACTGCTTTAAATGTGTCCCAGAGATTCTGGTATGTTGTGTCTTCATTCTCATTGGTTTCAAAGACCATCTTTATTTCTGCCTTCATTTCATTGTTTATCCATTCAAGAGCCAGTTGTTCAGTTTCCATGAAGCTGTGCGGTTCTGAGTTAGGTTCTGAATTCTGAGTTCTAACTTGATTGCACTGCGATCTGAGAGACTGTTTGTTATGATTTTCGTTCTTTTGCATTTGCTGAGGAGTGATTTATTTCCAAATATATGGTCAATTTTAGAGTAGGTGTGATGTGGTGCTGAGAAGAATGTATGTTCTGTGGATTTGGGGTGGAGAGTTCTGTAAATGTCTATTAGGTTTGCTTAGTCCAGGTCTGATTTCAGGTCCTGGATATCCTTGTTAATTTTCTGTCTAGTTGATCTAATATTGACAATGGGGTGTTAAAATCTCCCACTATTATTGTGTGGGAGTCTAAGTCTCTTTGTAAGTCATTAAGAACTTGCCTTATGTATCTGGGTGCTCCTGTATTGGGTGTGTATATATTTAGGATCTTTAGCTCTTCTTGTTGCATTGATCCTTTTACCATTATATAATGTCCTTCTTTGTCTCTTTTGATCTTTGTTGCTTTAAAGTCTAATTTATCAGAGATGAGAATTGCAACTCCTGGCTTTTTTTTGCTCTCCATTTGCTTGGTAAATCTTCCTCCATCCCTTTATTTTGAGCCTTTGTGTATCCTTGCATGTGAGATGGGTTTCCTGGATACAGCCCACTGATGGGTTTTGTCTTTTTATCCAATTTGCCAGTCTGTGTCTTTTGATTGGGGCATTTAGTGCATTTACATTTAGCGATAATATTGTTATGTGTGAATTTGATACTGACATTTTGATGCTAGCTGGCTGTTTTGTTTGTTAGTTGATGCAGATTCTTGATTGTGTTGATACTCTTTACCATTTGGTATGTTTTTGGAGTGGCTGCTACTTGTCATTCCTTTATATATGTAGAGCCTCTTTCAGGAGCTCTTGTAAAGCAGGTCTGGTCGTGATGAAATCTCTGAGTACTTGCTTGTTCGCAAAGGATTTTATTTTTCCTTCACTTATGAAGCTTAGTTTGGCTGGATAGGAGATTCTGGGTTGAAATTCTTTTTTTTAAGGATGTTGAATATTGGGCCCCACTCTCTTCTGGCTTGTAGGGTTTCTGCTGAGAGATCTGCTGTGAGTCTGATGGGCTTCCCTTTGTGGGTAACCCGACCTTTCTCTCTGGCTACCGTTAGCATTTTCTCCTTCATTTCGACCCTGGTGAATCTGACGATTATGTGCCTTGGGGTTGCTCTTCTTGAGGAATATCTTTGTGGTGTTCTCTGTATTTCCTCAACTTGAATATTGGTCTGCCTTGCTAGGTTGGGGAAGTTTTCCTGGATAATATCCTGAAGAGTATTTTCCAGCTTGGATTCATTCTCTCCGTCACATTCAGTTACACCTTTCAAACGTAGATTAGGTCTTTTCACATAGTCCCACATTTCTTGGAGACTTTGTTCATTCCTTTTTACCCTTTTTTCTCTATTTTTGCCTTCTCATTTTATTTCACTGAGTTGATCTTCAACCTCTGATATCCTTTCTTCTGCTTGGTCAATTTGGCTGTTGAAACTTGTGCGTGCTTCGCAAAGTTCTCGTGTTGTGTTTTTCAGCTCCATCAATTCACTTATATTCCTCTCTGTGTTGTCCATTCTCATTAGCATTTCGTCAAATCTTTTTTCAAGGTTCTTAGTTTCTTTGCATTGGGTTAGAATATGTTCTTTTAGCTCACTGTAGTTTCTTATTACCCACCTTCTGAAGCCTGATTCTGTCATTTCATCACACTCCCTCTCCATCCAGCCTTGTTCCCTTGCTGGTGAGGAGTTGTGATCCCTTGTAGGAGGAGAGGTGTTCTGGTTTCGGTTGTTTTCATCTTTTCTGCGCTGGTTTCTTCCCATCTTTGTGGGTTTATCCACCTGTTGTCTTTGTAGTTACTGACTTTCAGATTGGGTCTCTGAGTGAACTTCCAGTTTGTGGATGCTGAATTTACTTCTTTTTCTTAGCTTTCCTTCTAACGGTCTGGCCCTTCTGCTGTAGGACTGCTGAGGTCCACTCCAGGCCTTGCTTGCCAGGGGATCACCTGCAGCAGCTGCAGACCAATAAGGGTTGCTACCAGTTTCTTCTTCTGCTATCTTTGTCCCAGAAGGATGCCTGCCAAATGTCAGTCTGTTATCTTCTGTATGAGGTGACTCTTTGGATATACAGGGGTCAGGGAGCTGCTTGAGGAGACAGTCTGTCCTTTATTGAAGCTAAAGTCCTGAGCTGTGAGCTCCGTTGTTCATTCAGAGTTGCTGGGCAGTACGTTTAGGTCTGCTGCAGCAGAACTCATAAACTCCCCCCCTTTTTTTTTTTTTTTTTTTTT